CACACACACACACACACACTTTTAAATTCTTGTGTCAATGTTATTAGCTTTGGTCACTTTTGCATTTATAGGCCTTGCAAAGAGGGCAGCAGAAAGATTATACTCTATATACATATGATACAGACGGCAGCAGCTCACATTACAAAGACTTGGTGATCCTCGAAACAAACAGCCACATTTGAAGGGAGGTGAATAGGCTAATGTCATGAGCAGAGTATGTGAGATCACAAATATCCAAGTAAGTTGCTCTGGCAACTTTCTGGAACTTTTTCCAGCCAACCCCCAGTAAAATTTCAGAGTGAGTCCAGGCAGCAGGAAAATGTCTGGAGAATTCACAGCGAGCAAATGTGTTGATGATGTTTATAAAATGCACCAGAGGCAAAAGTGAGAAATACTACATACAAGAAGACGTGCTATCCACAGTAGAATTTAAACGTCACGTTCTGTCTCCTGCATGCTCTACTGAATGTTCCAGAGATTTTCATGTTGTGAAAATGTCTGACCAAGACAATCTCTTGCCGTGTTTGTCATATGTGAAAGGAAAAGTCTGGAAAATGTCTAGATCAAATTTTCTGGAGCTTATGTCTGATAACGGCTAAAGACAGAGATCGACATGAAACTCAGATGAACAGCGAACTCTACTCACCCGTTCCTTTTGTTTCTCTGGAGGAGAGAGGGAGGAGACTGGAATGAGTACGAGCCACTTCTCTGTCACTGGTTGGAGATCAACTCCAGATAAAGGCTCTCTGATCTTCACCCTCACCTCCAATTTGCCGCCTGTGGCTTTACGTCCATCCATCACCTATGAACCACAGCCACACCGTCACACAGATTACATCAGTACATGAGTGTATCTATTTGTGTTTTCACTGTATTAACACTTACGTCTATGATCTCTCTAATGTCACAGTGGTTATCTAGAGCCTCTAGCTTCAGCTGAGCTGTGCCCACTACTTTGTCCGTCTTAAACAAGCCTCTGTCAACACAAGGAGGAGAATACAACAGACAAGGCAGATGAAGGAAGATAAACAATGAAGTGTGTGTCTATGTTGCACCAAAGCATTTGTGGTTTTTACCCTTTGTGGATGATTTCAAACTTGATTCCTTTTGATTGGACGACTCGTTTGAAGCCTCGATGGGAGCGGTTGATGTTGAGTTTGAATTGCTCTTTAAACTCTGGGCTGTTGGTGCTCCTTACCGTGCTGGTTTTGTCTCTCTGAGCCTCCTCCTACATAAACACACACACACACATATAAATGCATTTATTAAACCACAAGATATAAACAATGTGAAACAATCCATGATCTCTTCTTTCAGTGAGAGAAATCTTACCACACTGGGGAAGGGAAACTCAAATTTCACACTTGCATCCAGATCGTTAGCTGAGACACCTGAAGGCAGAGAGTGGGTGTGAGCACACGTACATCTGACACATGACTTCACGGTTATTTTGAAGAGGTGCTTACCTGAGGGAGCTGGCAGATTAATGCCTTTGATTATGTACAGCATCAGGTCATTAAGTGTCAGGTTGGAGTAGCTCCTACAGAACAAACACAGGAGTCAGAGCCATTCAGAGGCAACATCTCGGGTTACGGACAAAAGGTTGCATCACTGTTAAGTGCAGGGCTCCAATCTTTCAACATTGGTTGCACCCGTGCACCTAACTTTTTCATTTAAGTGCACCACCACATAATTTAGGTGCACCCAAAATTGTTCACGTTTCTTGATGTATTCTTGATGGTAATTTCTTAACTAGGGCTGGGTATCGCCACTGATTTCCCAAATCGATTGGATTCCATTTTCTATTTGATTCAATACAGGATATTAAGGATATTACTAGTTTTGGTTGGATATGAAAGTCAGTTGCTCTTCACACAGACAATCACATTAATTAAAGTTATCATGTTGGATCATGAACTCCAGATTGTTATGGTCACTTTAGCACTGATGTGCACTTCTTGTGTTGTGTGTAGCAGAGTGTGCGCACAAAATGTTTGACTTTTTTTTCAATGTGATTAAATACGTGTCTCATAAATTATGTTGTGTTGGTGTTTATTGTTTAAGTGTGAAGTGAGCGCAGGTCAGCAGGTGTGAGGACACTGACTCTGACATGTACAAACCAATTTAGCATTAGAGGTCCATCGCAGAAACCATATATTAAACAGTTTTTGTTTGACATACATTGCCTCGTTCACCTCCTCCTTTCCTTCATCTCTGCTTCTCGTGTGTCAGTGTGACAAATTAGTGTGGGCGGGACCAGCCCAGGGCCTGTGTGTGTGTGTGAGTGCAAACTCTGCAGAGGAGATGAGATGGGGAAGCGACACGACTCCATCAAATACAGAGGCACACCAGCTAAATGTTTGGCGCACAGGTCTGACCAAGGACATTTTTAGTCGCGCTTCACACATATTTGGTAGCACTCTGTAGCCCTGGAGTGACTCACTGTCAGAGTCACCTGGCTGTTAGCATGGGATGATACCAGAGCAAAGTCACAGTGAGTCACTCTGATTCATCTACAGCTCCAGCTGGGGGAAATCATTCCTTCTGTTATCAACACTAATAGTCTTCAGTCATTCCAGCAACATTCCACTGCATGCTGTTAGTAAAATTAAAAATAACCAGATAATGGTTTTATCACATGTCATGGCAATCCATCCAATATATGTTGTAATATTTCAACACAGGCTTAAAATGTCAACCGGTCGGCAGGACTATACAGACGTTTTCACAACAACACAAAAATCTCCAGTATTCAGGTGAGGGGTGGTGCAGCTGGCAGAGGCAGGACGTAAAGTACAAATTCCGCTGTGGCTATCCCCTACCCCTGTCAGCTCACATCACATCTTTCTGTCTACTATGTGTAGGGCACCTCTTTTTCATCCTGAGATGTTTAGTTTTGCGTCTGTCCCATGTTATAAAGTTCATCAACACACATACTCGCTCCAAGTGAATCCTGCAGAGAATCTCCTGCTGTGTACTCACGTAGGCTCTTTGGACATTTTACTAAGGGGCAGGCTGCGAAAGGCCGAAGAAAGTCTAAAGGCTCACACTCGGACATTTGCGTTCACACATACAGGCCCCTGGAGACAGTCCGGGGTTCTCCAGAGTTAAGTGCAGGACAACAGCTTAAGAAACATCGGGGATTCCAAAAGTCAATTAAACTCAACACTTTGAGGGCTCATGAATGTTTAAACAAAGCTTTCTGGCAATCCATTAAACAACTGTTGTGATAGTCTTTTTTCTGTGGTCGAACGACAGACACACTGAATGACAGACTGACACTGTCATCCTCCGAGCTAGAAGCAGCTATAAAATTACTGACTTTAGATCTTCAAGATCTTCTTCTACTCCCTGGCTATTCCATTCTGCACCCCCGATAGATAAAGCCATGCGTATAGAAATGGTGAATGAATGTGTGTGCAAATGGGTTAACGTGACTTAAAAATAAGCTGTGACTGGTTGATAAGACTAGATGCGACTAAATGCATGTAATATAATTTTACACAATGTAAAATAAAACACATTAAGGTTTGTTGCTGACTTGAAAGAATTGAAGGTCCTCTCTTCTGTGTGGCACTTGGGGACTGGGTGGCCTTTGGCGTGGGCCTTCTTCAGTATCTCTATGTTCTTCAAACACTCCTCAGCCAGCTTCTCAATCCTGGTGAGAGACAAACAAGGTCCTTACACACAAATGCTCATACGTACGTGTACTCAATACAAGGTGTATCAAATAAAAATATGTTGTTTCCAGGCAGTGGCAAGATTTTGAAAGCAAATCGGAAAAAGAAAGGAACAAGTGCAGAGCCTGCAATAATGTGCATGATGTATGACAGTAAAATGTATGGGAAAATATGTGGGAAAATAAGTGAAGAAGTTTAAATAATGCAGTGTTACATGAGAAAAAAAACGACTGTGTTGCCACAGAAACCGTATACTCCACAATTGTGCTGAAGAACTTAACTGAAAAAATAGATCAGTGCATCTGCGTCTGAAATGTGAGAATTAGCTAATTTGCTGTTGTCAGTATGAAAAAATGTTTCCTAGTTTTAATACATTCATCATTTCACACACATTTTTATAATGATTTGCTAACTAATCCAGAGATGGTGATGTTTGTGGCTAGAAAAAAAATATTGTTACACTTTCATTTATTTAAATTCCTAGCAACAGAAATGCCATCATGGCTGCAGAGAACATCATATTAAATGAACATAAATACAAATGTGGAATGTCTCTTACTTCAGAGCCTCAGCTATATTGCCCACTTTTGTGAACTGCTGGGAGGAGCTCAGACATTTCTGTAAATTGAGATACAAAACAAAAGAGGGAGTGCATAAGAAAACAGAAAATAACCAAAGACAGTATCATACAGATCAATTGTGATACAAAACTAAAAAGCTGCACAACTAGAAAAGTGACGAGCAAGCTTCAAGCCAAAGATCATAACCATATCAACCATCATCAGTATAAACTGGTCACTGATGCACAGCGAGATTTCGAAGGTGCATTTCTGTATGAAATGTGTATTTGCTGACCTCGTGCTGCTTCCGTAAAAGATCCATAAGGCCGTGGTACTGTTCACTGGAGCGAGGGGAGACAGGGGACGTACGGGAGCGAGACAGAGAGTAGTCCTCTTCCGGGGCGTCGGGAATCTGTCAGCAAAGAGACAAAATCATTGGAGACATAAAACAATGACACCAAACTCTCACATAGAACACAAAGTTCTGAGGTGAAACAGATTGGATGTTTGACCCTCCTTATTTTTGAGAACCTCGGTTCCAGCTTGTACCAAAATTAAATCAACACGTCCTCTATTCCCTATGTGTCTACCAGACGTTATGAATATCCATCTCTGTGCTTGTGCGATATCATCCTGACCAACACACAGACAAACTAACAGAGGCACCAGCTTAATATTCCTGGTTATTAAATTGTAGGATTGAGTCACAGAGAAATAAATATGTTTTATGAAGCAAAGATATTAAATAAAAGGGAAGCAAAATTAAAAAAACATCACATTGGATAAGTGGCAACTATATGAAAATATGTAGATAATCTCAGACACACACAGAAGGTGAGATCATCATGAGCTCAAAGGTGTTTTGATTTCACCCTGTTTCCTTCCTCCAGTCTTTCACATTTTGCGTCGACACACCTCCTCATGCATTCAGTGGCTCCTGGGACAACTCTGTCACAACACACACACTCTGTCTCTTCTTGTATGTTACTAACTGGCACATGAGAATTAATTTATAACCTTGGTGACATCAACAAGCAGGCCAGACTTGGCAGCATTGATCATGGGGTCCAGACCCTTGGCATGTCTGAGGTGCTGCGCTGCTCCCGTCATGTCCTACAAACAACCCAACAGCAACAGACGAATCAAACCACAGCGGAAAAACATTTGTTCAAGATTTCAGTAAAACAGCAAGCGTCTGTGCTCAAAACTTATCCATTAAGACTCTACCTATTGTAAAGAAAAAAATATTAAGAAAAAAAAAAAGTCCACCTTACCTTCATCTGTTTGGAGCGCAGAGCTGCGCGCAAAAACCCCTGTCTCCTTAGCAACAGGAAATCCACTTGCTGCTGAGCTGCAAGGACATTTAAGAGAAAAGGTAGTGACGCTCTGACACTTTTTTGCACTTTCTGTATGTTTAGGCAGTCATGCACGTGCACAAACCCACACCACACACACCTTTGTGTCCCAGTTTCACAACTGCGGAGCCTCCAGGGGGCTGTGGAGCAGGAGACTTAGCTTTCTGGGCGGATGGGCGCACTGCAGGCTTCAGAGAGTAAAATATAAGGTTAGTATCATGAGACAAATGTAATGAAGAACTGATTTTTAACTCCAGTAAGGAGTTGCTGTTTGTTTGTCTGTTAGCAGGATTACACAAAAACTGATGGAACTTGGTGGAAGAATAGGCCAAGTTCTTCATTTATGTGAATTTCTCAAGAAACAATTCATGGATCTTGATGAAAAAAAAAAATCAAGCATGTTTAGGGGACTGATATTTAGTGTGCAATTTGGTGCAGCTTGATTGATTTTAAGAGGACCGTTGGTGTATGCGCTCTACTGAGAGGAATATTGACCTCTTAAAATCGGCTACATCTTGGGGATTTTGTGAATTTCAATTAACATTTTCAATTATTGCAAAACAGCTTAATATTAAGTCTTAATTATCTTTAACACTGTTTCTATATTAGTATATTTGATAACAGGCCCAAAGGTGATGCAATAGGCAGGGGGTCCAGCCAAGAAAACAGAATAATCTTCTACAGAATCTGACGTGACAAACAATAAAGCATGTTTCTTTTTACCTTGGCAGCCTCTGTTGGAGTATCCTCTTCATCATCTTCTGCATCGGCATCCTGATTAGCTATTTTCATAGCTGTTTCCAGAACACCAATGAAGTTCTGCTGCTGACCCCCCTCTGAGCCCTGCAGTGGCGGACAGCCTAGAGGAGCAACACACATAATGAGACACAAAGTTTACTATATGTATGTGCATCCTGGAACCAAATCCTGAAACACGTCTGGATCCCGAAAGTTACCTGGCGGCACTGGGAGCTCGGCCATGTTGATAGGCCGTCCAGCTTTATGAGCTTTGATGGAATCCTGGTATTGCTGTTAAGAAAGGATGAGATGATAGATCACTCTGTTTATATTATTGTTGTGTCATTATCATTGAATGCCTTGATTTATATTATCAATATTCTTTGGTTTTTTTTGTGAGCTCCAATTTAAAATATATTAACAACTCAATAAATAAACTACCCCCCCGGTTTTCCATTCCCACCCAGTAAATGTGGCTTTCTAGCATATAAAAATAAACATAACAAATGGACAGTATAATACTGAGAGAAGGTACAAAAGCATAACTCCCACATGAGAATATCAATATTATCAATTTTCTTCCACTACAACAAAAAGAAATATAGTATATGCCTCACACCTATTTTGGTCTTTTATTTCATGGTCTTGTCTCCATGATTTAATTGAATCCATTTACCCTGTGTAAGTCGAGAGGACCAAATGTTCCTATCTTTTGCAAAGTGCTTTTCAATACTCCTCAGAGAAAAACCCAGACTTTATTTCAGGTCATTTCAAAGGTGAAATGAGCAACAGTAGTAGTCAGAGTCAAAGCAGCAGAAGGTATCTCCAGTCAAAATAGAGTGAGTCACACTAGTTATTTTGGGACATGAATAAAACACCCCCCCAAACAGCAGCACAGATATACAATATATATTACGCATTATGGGATTCTGTATTTCTGAGAATATCTAATCCTTTACTTCATTTAGTTTCAGCTGCACAGTACAGTATTTTTCAGAAAACCACATTTTAAGGCCTACTTTAAGTGGATGTGTAATACCTTGACAATTCGCTGATGCATGCGAGCCTTTCGATCATCCCCTTTGCTCTTAGCGCCCTCTGCTGCTGACTTGTAGACGTCCAACCTCTGCTGCAGGGCTTCTGCCAGACTACTGGGAGCAGGAAGGTCTTCATACACAGACACACACACAAACTTTTCACTTTAATTTCAACTTCACTATACAGAGCTACTGGAGTCTAGAGGTGTGCATGTTCACTAGCCTCATGACTCAGTTACGCTTCTGAGAGAAACAAAAAGTAAACGCTAAAAATGAAAGTAGCGGCAACTTAAATAGATTATGTTCAATTACTGCATCGATGCAGAGTAGTCCACGGCCACACCGTGATGTATCTAAGAATCAAGACATTTCCACACCTCTACTGAAGTCTTACCTGCCGGGGCCACACTGGCGGGAGCAGGAGCAGTAGGAGCAGCAGGGGCAGCTGGTTTGAAGGAAGACTGAGGAGCAGGAGGTGCACGGTGTTCAACTAATACATCTCCTGCAGAGGATCAGAGATCAGTGGAAAGTTGGAACATCTTTATCATTTTACCAGGTAATCCAGAAACAAGACACACAGTAACAAACAGCCAGTCAACACATAAAGGCAAATGACATCAGCACAGAAATCTCTTTCATTCAATTGGATCAGACTTTCAAGCTTAGACATAATTTGTAATTTACTACATTTATAAAAAGTTATTTCTAAGCTCAGTGTTTGATTTGGTTGACACCAACAATTTATCTCTGTAAGAGAAGTCAAAAATGTAATCATAACTTGTCCTTTTAAGAGATGACACTAACCAGGAGGGGGAGGTAGTGATCTCAGGTCTACCAGTTCACCTCTGTCCATTTCCTCCACCAGCGTGTCCATCTTCTGCAGAGATCGAGGTCAGCTAATATCATCAACTTTTTCTCACAACCCTTGTACATTAACTACACACTTAATAAAAATATTTATTAGAGCTCTAAAACTGACAGCAGTTGTGTTACCTTGGCAGTGAGGTAGAGTTGTTTGGCCTGGTCAATGTCTCCGCTCTGTTTGGCATTTATGGCAGCCATCTTGTACTCCCTCTGTCTGGACAATACTGCCTGTTTCAGCTCTGAATTAGGTGAAGAAATAAAGGATGATGGGGTGGCTGTTGTTTTGGATAATGGTGGTTACTAAATAAAACATCAACACTATTAAAGAAAAGCGAACAACTACACTTAACTTATCTGATGTCATGTATAACTTTTTTAACATGGATGATTTTATAGTGTTTATTAGATTGGAGATACAGTATCAGCCCATCTTTTCTCCCATACAGTACATTGATAACACAGTGGAGGAAAGTTGAACAGACGTCCACAGAGGGCAAAATAAGTCATCTTATGTTTTTACCAGAGTGCTGTGCATCCGGCTGGCTGGGGGTGAGTGGAGAGATTGCAGGGGTTTCTGGAGTGATGGCAGCTGCAGGCTTTTGGGGTGGGGTCAGAAGGAGCGGCTTTGTATTAGGGGTTGTTGGAGGAGCCTCCCTCAGAGGTTTCTGATTGTCGGGTGGAGAGAGCATCAGTGCTGGCTCTGGCAGTTCTCGTTCCTTGACGGATTCAGACTCCGCAGTAACACTGGGTTTTCCACCGAGAGCAACGGGAGGAGGCATCTCTTCCTCATTGATTGGTTTTCCTTTCTTGACAGATGTTAACATGGACTGTAGGGTCTAGGTTTGAAGACGACAGGAAACATGAACATGTCTTCAACATTACAGAAAACAAAAATGCTAATTTACCAATGTTAAGTCTTATACTCATATAAAAAACACAAAATTCACACATAAATTTAGAAATTTTAAAAGATTTAAATGGAGACAACAACAGATTTGTACATGTGATTTTCCTTTTACCTTTAACCCTCGGTCATATCGTCGAACTTTGCTGGTCTCCCCTGCAGCCTTGGCATTAGAAACAGCAGTCTTGTACATTTCAATACGTTCCAGCAGGCGAGCCTCCAGCCCCGTTGCACCAGTAGGAACAGCAGAGTGAGATGTGACAGTCACTTTGGGAGCAGCTGGTGAGACCGCAGGGGGAGTGGGAGCTGGAGCTGGTTCCTCATCATCCTCCAAAACTTCATTAAGCTCTGCCTATGTACAGAGACACAGAAATGTATACAGGTAAGAGAAACATTCTTAAATTGAAGACAATGCAAGAGCTAAGCTTAAAAACATGATACTGAAGATGAATAAACAAGGTTGGGTTTGCATTTTAGAATTTTTTTTAAACCAATATATCACCAAAACGTGCAGATATCAAGTTTACTTATATATGTTACATGATAAAGATGAGCACCAAATCCTTACACAGGAGAAGCTAGGACTAGCAAATGGGATGTGAACGTTTCTTCTCGATCAATTAATTGACTGACTCTATTTTCTGTAAAACAGGGTAAGAAGATTGTGATATTGTTACCAGCAGATCTTCATCATCAAGATCGTCATCCCCTATTTCTTCATCTTCCACGTCTTTCATGCAAAGGGCTGCCATTCGCTCGATTTCTGCCATGTGAACAGGAGCTGAACATGGACAAATAAATCACAATGAGCACTAAACCACACACTAAATCATTTTTTTTGAGTATTAGCAAATAAACGCAGCAAACTGAGAAAAACTGTGGAAAGAAATCAGGCCCTGTACAAACCTAGAGAGACTAGGTGTTTCTTTCTCACCTCTCCCTTCACTTTTCCTCCCCTGTGGCCTTCCTCCTCCTTCCCCGATCAGATTCAGCAGCTCTGCCTCCAGGTCTTCATCGTTGCCCTCATCATCCATCCCTCCATCCGGGGACAGGTCAAGGAGCAGCCCCATCTGGAGACAGACACAAGGACAGACGGACAGAAAGAGAGACAGAGAGAGAGAGAGAGATGCTGAGTCATACCTGTTGTTGACATAAATACAGTAGATATCATTCTCACATCTCATCATCAGAAATGAAGGGTGTTACCTGTTTGGCTCGAGCTGCCCCTTGACCCCGGGGAGGGGCGTTCCGACTGCGACTCATGGACTCTCACCACCTGGAAGTGAACCTGGAAACAAGGAAAGGAATGAAAGTCAGTGGAGGGGAAACAACAGTAGAGACGAGATAAGCGTCGAGGGACGCAACTTGATTACAATCAACCCATTTTCCTGCCATCTTGTGTCGCATTTCAAACAGTTTAAGCGCTTTGGACCGAGTTAGCGTCACTGTTCGTGTTAGCTAACAGCTACAACAACACAGCTCACAGACACGACCTGGTCCTCTTCACGCACCGTGTTGTCAGTGTTGGGTCGAGTCGGTTGTCCTGCTCGAACACTGCTCAGATATAGCCGCAGAAAGCTTTGATAGCTGTCAGTAGACCGGTGTGTACTTTACTGTTCACTCCGAGCTGTCAAAACAACAACGACAGGCGGTGGAATTCACTTCCTATATGCCGTCTCCACTGGCAACGCACGTCGCGCTTTACGGCTAGACGACACACACACCCGCCACTGACGTAAACCCCGACGTAAAGCTGCGTCCCTGAGGTCCAGGTGAGAAATTGTGGGAAAGCCACAAAATGACAACTCCTGTCTAACACTTTCTGAAGAGTGATTCAATTCATTATTTGAAGTCCAGAGTCCACATCCACAGCACCTTAGAGTAAGTGTGTTTTCCTTTTATGTGAGCTAATAACAGAGCTAATAACAGAATAGATACATATATATAGGAATACGTCATCAGATAGTTAGCTTTAAGCTAAACATTAGCCATACCAGTGATAGAAAGTGTTTTAGGTCGCTATATATCACATTTTCCATTTTAAGCTTAACTCTTGCACTGTTTTCCAAAAATACTGAAATACTTTAAAGGTTTTACATGAGGTCTGGTCCGGTGACAGAGACAAGAGAATAAACACTGGGCAAGGGAATTAACTACAAAGAATATAATGCTTTATTAGAAGTACAAATTCATTAGAACTCCAAAACACCAGAAATCAGGAGACTCCAGAGCTTACTGCTGAGAAGTCCAATCACCACAATACACTTACATCTCACTGCAGTGAACTTATTCTTGTGCTCTTGTGTTTGATTGTTTTAAAAAGTGTCTATCTATCTATCTATCTATCTGTCTGTCTGTCTTATCTATCTATCTATCTATCTCTGTCTATCTGTCTTATCTATCTATCTATCTGTCTGTCTATCTGTCTTATCTATCTATCTATCTAATCTGTCTATTCTATCTATCTAGACATTTCTTAAATACCTTCTTTTGGGTTTTTTAGGAAGAGGAGATGGCCAAAGGGAAGACCAACTGCAGTGGTAAAACATTTTCTTCTCAAATACTACTACTAAATTTGTATGTGTGGTCCAGGTATTAATCATGTTGTTGTGAGGACCTAAATCTGTTTACACAGTCCCATTATGAGGACTTTTCCTCCTTATGGGGACAAAAACACATCCCCGAACTTGTGTTTTTAGGTGAAGACATTATAGGGTTAAGTTAAGGTTGTGTTAGGGATTAGGGTTAAGCAAATTGTAATTATGGGTAAGGTAGGATGTGGTGTATGTTAGACAGTCACAACTGAATGTGTGAGTGTGTGTTGTTTAGTTTGAGAGTAAACCCTCTACAATGATTCCCCATCAGTCTTTGATTAACGATGAGTTGGTCCTTCTGTATTAAGGCAGCACAGCTCCGTTGAGGTCAAGGAAGCGGGAACGATCAAGAGATAAAATCCCTCAGACTGATGATGTTCTGGCTACTCTTAAACAACAGGTGATTTATGTGATTGAGATTGAACCATATTTCCATAGAATCAAGGCAACTTTTTGACAAATCATTCTTTTCAGGGCACAAAAGAAGATCATCCATCTGTCATTGCTCCACCACAGCATCTTCAGTGCCCTCTGCAGGAATGTGCCACGATTACACATCAACAGGATCAGGCAGCCGAACAGCCCTGTCACACCAAACAAGATGAATCCCAAGAAGATAAACTTGCAGAAAAACCAAATACATGCTTGAAAGATGTGACGGTCCAAGCTTCTGAAGGGCAACAAGAGTCCACTGTCACCAGTCCCATTACTGCCTCTAAGCTGGAGGGCTGTAGAGTGCATTCTAATTATGATACCAACAAGAGCGGAATGGAGGAAATAGCTCCACAGGACGGTATTAGACCACCATCTCCAACAGGCACTGATCAACCCCAGGTCTTCTCACCAAACTCTGAAGAGGGCGACAGATCCTGTGCAGCTACTTTGGAGAAGCAACTGGATTCCAAGGAAACCTCTCAGAGTGATTTAGAGCAAAAACACGAAACCAGCCAAGAAGAAACATGCACCTTGTGCATGGCTGATGTCAAGGAGATCACAATGGAGGCAGCTGTGGTATTACCAGCCAAAAAAAAGCGAAGGATGGGCATGTGTGGTCTGACAGAGAAGGAGCGGATTCATTTTTTACAGGCACAGAAGCGTGAAAATGATCAGGGCGGAGTGGAGGAAGTTAAGAAGCAGATTTGTAATAATGCAGCAGACCCTGTGGCTCAGGAGGAGATTATATCTTCACTCTTCGTTCCATCTTCACTTCTCTCCATCCCTGTCAATAGTATCACAGTGCAGAACCAAGCAGAGACACTGAAGTCCGGTTGCTGTGGAGTGAAGGACAGGTCAGCATCATGTTGAGAGGAATCCAAAATACATCTTTAATTTACATTAGATTGAACTCTGTTTAACTTTTGCGTTATCATGACACAAGCAGGTTCATTTCATAAGCAACTCAAGTAATTCTATTTTACTTACAGTGGAATTACATGTTTAAAAATCTACTTCAGTTAAACTAGATGAATGTTCATAGAAGCAATTATAAATCACAAAATTTTGATTTGGATCTTTGATAAGTTCATTGCAAATCAACATCTGTACTCTATCATGGATGAATTTCAGCTGAAGTCATGTATTATGCTTCAGTCAAAACCTGAGTTACGTTTAATTGAAATCCCTGACTTCAAAATACACAAACTTACAACTACAAATACTCTATAATATCAACAGACGTAAATGTAATTTCTTGCTTCCTACTTTGACGATAACATTGCTTGTTAACACACAGTGCGGAGACTGAAGTCCATGTTGCTGTCACAACCTCAGATGGGACCAGTGCTGTGTGTGACCCTGACAGCTCAGAGGTAAAGAGCTGTGAGGCTGAGAGGGGCACGGAGCCTGGTCCAGAAATAACTGGTGAGCCAGAGTCAGGTCCACTCACACAGGACAAAGTGTCGGGGCATTTGGTGAATCAGGAGCAGCAGGAACTCGAGGAAAGTACAACTGTGGTGACTGAAACACCTGAGAAGCAAGGTACAGACGGAGAAGACAAGTCGACAGAGGCAGGCGGTTGTGCTGCCATGGGTTCTTACACTAATCCAGCTGAAAATGAGGAAAGTGAGAAAAAGAAGAAGACTGCGTCTCTGCAGGTGCACAGAGAGACCGAAACAAGAGATGAGATGGAGGAAGAGATGATGGTTGATGCCAGTGATGGAACCGGCACGGAGGGAATCTCTTCCACAGTCGCTGGGCCTGGAGGGTTTAACTGTGGTTCTGTGGAGATCAGTGAAGCTGCAGTGATGCCTCCTGGCTCACAGAGGGAAGACAGTGTGAGTGGTGGGGAGGGAACAAACTTACACAAAAACTTTTGTAAAGAGTCAAGAGAACATGCTAAATTTGGAATGTTAAGGGTTTGCTGTTAAAAAAAATCATACCATTACCAATCTGACAGCTTTACGTTGGGCTGTCTTTGTTCTGGACATCTTTTGACTTTTTCACAGATTTTCCAGAAAATAAATTATGAATATTGATGAAAAACTAATTTAGGGAAATTAAATTATATGTGGCTTGAATGAATTCAAGGGCACAATTAGGCCTTGGCAGAGGTATGCACACCTCTGAGTGAAGTGAATAACATATGGCAGATTAAAGCTCACATGAACTGTAATGCTAGCTACTTGTGATTTACTGCACCCAACAATAATTGTCATGATAAATTATTTTTTAAATTCATTGATTCTTTAGTCTGTCAGTAAGAAAAGTTTTTCTTACTGTAGTTCTCCACAGTAATGGCTGATTGTTTTTTTGCCTCCAGTGTGATCCTGAATATGAACTTGCTCCTCCTACTGTAACCACTGTGCCCACTCTGACCAGGGACACCACCGACGTGTTTGCATCTGGATGCTTAGATTACGTGTCGGACTCGCAGCTCAACACTATTGTTCTAATGTAAGGAATCAACATGAAGTCATTTTAGATAAACATGTAAAATTTCATTGCTGTTTGTCTTTAAGCAGAGTTACGCAAAAACTATTGAACTCTTTTTATTGATACTTTGAAGTTTGGGATTTAAGCAAAGTTAAAACTTATTAGAGTGCAGAATTGGTAACAGTTGTTTTTTATCCATTCAATGTTTTTACTTTACTTTATCCAGTGATGAGGAGGTGACGGAGAGGAAGACTTTTGGTTCATCAGACAATCCTGAAGATGCCACAGATCTGATCTGTGGACTAATCAAAGAACTCTCCTCTCTAAAGTTAGTAACTGAAATTCTCCTTTTTCACTTATTCTGTTGTTGTATTTCTAACCTCTCTTTGCTTCCAGCTCCTGCTTGTCTCTTCTTTCAAGAGAAAGGCAGATAAGCCGTGGCCACAAGATTTTACCTCTATGGCTCCAATAACACTGGTCCACTCTAAAAGCACTGAATGTATAGTGAAATTGTTTGAGGACGTTCTATGACTGACATTCTGGGGTTTTCACTCACTCTCCCCTGCTTACCTTTTATAGTTTCCTTCTCTGGATTTGTACTCATTATCTACCTCTTGACATCTTCAGCGATTGTGATTCTACCACTATTATCAAACTGAGTCCAGTAGTTCAGTTTACAAAACTGATTTGCAGCATTTCTCTTCTTTTCATGTTCTTCTAGTCAGAAGGTCATGGCCACACACCGGGAGCTGGAGAACCTACAGCGTGGCAGAATAGCTTTGAAAAGCTCACTGCATTAAGGATTTCCATGAGGTACCTGAGCTTGGCGTTACCCCAGTGGTTCATGGGTAGTGAAGGAACTTGTCCCCTTCTACAATCCTTTAAGATTATCTTCTCACTGACAGCTGGAATATTCTGTTTATTGGCTTCAATGTTCTGGTTCTCCGCAAATAAAGCTTGTCATTGTTTTATTAAGTTAGAAATCTGACTCGTTAAATATGTAACTTTCTTGATTAATGTCTCCTTCATGGCTCTTAAAGTTTTAAAAGAACAGAGTGGTGACAAAGCATACAAACACAGATTTACTCACTTTAGACATGTGTAACTACAAGAATATTCACACAAAGATTCCCCCCCCCCACAAAGCCAGATGAGTTACAGCGGCTTTTTTTTTTTTACCTTTAGAAAAGCCACACATAGAATATTCAAAATAAAACAGGATGTCTCAGGAACAGGAATTCACTCACACACCTTAGAACTAGAACAAGTCACTGATATTTTAAAAATTTAAAATACTGACATGGTCACATGATGTTTAAATGCTGTAGTAAAATTATTACCAATGATGAATGTAGGTCTGATAAAGCTTTGGTATTTGTGTTGAAATCCTTCAATGCATGGACAGGAAAAGTGAGGCTGGACATCAGATGGCCACGTTTAAAATATAAATAAAACAAACATACAATTTCCTGAGAAACATTTTTTCCTTTTCTCCTCCCAAACATATCTGGCAGTCGTTGTCGAAAGAGAGTACCTCACGAAATCCACCAACAGACGCTTTTTGAAGTAGAGGGCCCACAGAAAGATCAGCCAGCTTCACAGAAGGCCTCAGTGTAAACGTGCCAAAGCATGCAAATTAAAACCAAACCAAAAACCACACAAAAGCAAAAAACAACACTAGTGCTATTAAAATAAAAATCACACATAAAAAGAACTGCGGCCTCTGTGCAGTGGCTTGTTGTCGATATACCTGACACCTGTTGGCTTCAGCGTCTGGTCTTCGTGTACACGGAGCTGTACGCGCTGTCCACCCGGGGACAGAAGCGCTTGGTGTGAGCTTTGGTCCCCGTGGCTCCGCAGAGGGGACACACGTACTGTCGCAGGTAAGGACACATGACTTCCCCGGCGTAGTTCTTCAGCCAGTGGGATCCATACACCAGGTCGGACTCTCCGTTGTGTTTGCAGAAGCTGCAGAACATGCGCTCAAGAGGAGGAGGAGGCGCCGCTGGGGGCTCGGGTGTCTTAGGGCGAGTCGTCCTCTTGTGGTCTTTTGGCCCCCGGTGAGGTTTTGGCACTTGTTTCAGATCCACCACATCTGGTGCGTCACCACGAGCAGGGGTTGGTGCACGCAACACATCAGTTAAAGGCTGATGAGCGGAGGAGTCAGGACGCGGGGACTGAACGCGGAGACCCGGCGCACAATATGCTCCGAGGTTGTTGTGGCGCATCGCGTTAAGGCGCATGGACACCAGAGCCCTGCGGCGATCACCGGGCTCCAGGTGCGAGGCTTTGGGGGCTGAGAGTGGCGACTGAGCCGCGCTGTTCCGAGCCAGAATGTCTCTGATGGTCTCCGACAGTCCCATGTAGTCTCTCCAGGGCTGGAAACTTCCGCTGTTCGACTCCATGAAGCGCGGCAGGTGGTGAAAGAGGCCCCAAACCACACCATTCATACTAGCTCCTTGTCGGTTGTAAGGCAAACTGTCTCTCGGGGACAGGGTCAACTTTTTGACTTTGTAATAACGACTTCAAGATCCAGACACGCTGCGCCGGGTCGTGCGTAACAACGCTTTGATTGGTAATTGAGCACAAGTGTTGGTACGCTCCTTCCACGTACCAGCAGCCAATCACAGGAGCTCATGCGCCAGGCGTGCACGGCCCAATTGACCCCTCTGTTTCCTCCAATGGTTGAGAGGTGTTTGTCACCCATTCGGCCTCCACGTGCTCAGTCACAGTCTGGCTGGTTTCACCACCATAGTTTTCATTTTTTTATTTATGAATAAATGTTTCTAATATTTAAATCTCACTTGAATCTTTGGTTTAAGAAGACAAATCAAGGTGTTCAATGTGTAAATCTAAATGTAGACGTTTTAGCTCATGGACATATATGGAAAAGATGCAATGTCTCCAAAGAACTGGCAGCAAGTAATCTGCTGCTCTCACTATGACTATATGTTTACATGGGCACCATTATTTGGACCAGTTACCTTAATCACAAAAAGACATTATTTCAATCAAGATGTGTATATGATATCTAGTCGTCTGAGGATACCGTTACTTTGTTGGTAACTGCTGTACCGGTCGATGTTGTAAAATGCTGTGAAAACTTCAATACTACGGTGGCTGAGAGAGCTCAACGCACTGCAAATTAAGAAAACACATGCAAATAGATAAACACTTGCAAATTAAGAAAACAACTTCAACGACATGCGCTGCAAAAAGTCACAACACATGCAAATAAAGCATGCTGCAAATTGCAAAAACGACACAGGATATGTTTCCAGGGGATCCAAAAAATGATGGACCTGGCTGTAGTTCAATGCTTTGTGAAGTTCCACCACCACTGATGGGTAGCAGACTTCAATAACGTCGAATTGATTATGTTGTTTTCCTGCATGTATTGAGCTCTCTCAGCCACTGTACAGTATCCTCTGTTCACGAATGAACAATAACACAAGAATAAATATATTCACTATTTATTGGTTATTTTAAAAATACAAAATCAGGTACAATATACTTTTTCAATGACTTTCACCTGTAGTGACAAATGTTGTATTAAAATGACCAGTCCAAGTGTGAAGCCTGTGGTGCGTCCACCATCTTTTCTGTGCCACTGTCCCATGATTGGGGATCAACTTCTATGGATCTGAAGGAGAGGAGGAGTTGGAGATGTCAGCTGTCAAGTACAAAGATAAAAATCAAAAGCTGGCCAGGCCGAACATTTCAGGTGCAAAAAACTATTATTTTTAATGTGTAGATGGTGCCAAACAAATCTGTCCCATGAGTGAACAGTGAAACTTTGTTAAAGTCAAACCATGGACTGTATATAAAAATGGACAACGCGTCTCCACTTCCTCCCGCTATCAAGAAATGAAGCCAAAATATCCTGGATATGAATGCTGCCATTTTGTGCATTTGGAGTCTGTGCATCAGTCAAGGTCCGACCGATACCCACGCTCCACCAATCATGAGTCAGTCTCAGCAGTCAATCATGACATCACTTCACTGTGTTTTTAAATGGCATCAAATAACTAATTGAAATCAAACTTTCCAGAAAAATGAACAATTGAACAGAATCATAGGAACAATCTAAATTGACAGGACCCATCTCTGAGAAAAAATTATTGGACATGTGACTTGGACTTTTTAGTTTGGTCCATGTCCCATCCACTAATATTGAAGAGGCGGGGTTTATAACCTATACTTCAGCCAATCAATTGGCAAAATCATCCTTTTATTAATTAGAATGTATATATTATATTTTTAAAAAGCTAAGAATATATAGAAGCTGTTTATGTTGTATCAATCACATCGATTGTACTCATTAAAGTAACAACATTGAAGGAGCACACGAATAGAAAACAGACATAAAAATACATCATTTACATTTGGCCTGTGATACCGTGGGCAGCTGAAAAAAGACACAACCTTGTTAATTAATGCTGCCGTTAATGCTTTATATGATGATCAAGACTGGCTCCACTAAAACCTGCTATAAGATGGAATCTTGACTGACCGACAGTTGTATGATAGATTGAGGGCAGCGTAGAGCTCAGGAGTGCTGGGAGTTTGAACTCTGACTCTTCCCTGATGAAACACAGACAGAGCAGCTGACCCAGAGCCGATGGATGATGGAGTGATGGGAAGACAGCCAGATATACTGGTGGGCCCCGAACCGGAGAAACCTAGAGTCAAATATACATGATGTGTTTGTGTTTACTCCCAAAAACCTAAACACATCACCACATTTAAAAATCAGCCTCTTTCCATTTATTACTCATACTCACTGAGAGCAGTGCTTTCTCTTCTCTTGCTGCTTGGTGCTCCTTTACCACACAGAGATGAGTCGCACAAATACTGCTGCTTCATGAGAGAGGCCTTCTGCTGCTCAAAATCACGACGCTGTAGACAAAGAAATAACATTTTGCACCGTTATATGCATCCTTATAAATTAATTCAGTTGGTGAATACCTCACAATTGTTCAGCTTAAAACAGCTGCTACAACCCCCAGCCCAACCTCTATCATTTAATCCAAGGGCCTCCGACCTGAAAAAAAGTAATCCAAGCAGTCTTATAACAGCAGCCTCTGCTTAGTCCTCCTCTCACCTCGTGGCTCAGTCGGATTGCGGCATCAGTGAAGGACAGTCTCTCTCTTTCAAAAGTATTCCTCTGATGGTCGAGCTCGGCCCAACGCAGCTGGAGACGCTCCCACTCTTCCAAAAAGTACGAATCGGCCAGAGCAGATGGGACAGGTGAGTCGAGGTTACCCTACAGACAAGAAGGAAGGAGTGTGTGACACAAGCAAATGTTCACATGAGAAGGTAAGAGTGTGTGTGTGTGTGTGTGTGTGTGTGTGTGTGTGTGTGTGTGTGTGTGTGTGTGTGTGCGTGCATGATAGAGCATTATACCTGCAACATTTGCTGTTGTAATCTGACAAGCTGTTGACTCTCTCTCAGTTCAGTTCCTAGTTGAGCCAAGAGCTTGTCATGGTCAGTACCAACACCAGTTTGACCTATTCTCAAGACAGACCACAGATTGACAAGTTTCTCAATCATTGGTCCGTTAAAAAGAAATGAAACTTGCTATAGTCCTCATAAAAAGGTGCAACGGGAAGAGGGATCACAAATCTTTTCTTATGAAGAGAGTTTTTACCTTCAGACAGGATGTCACCCAGTCTCCTCTGCACCTTCCTCCAACTCTGAACCACACCACCTGTCACATGTTCACCAAGCACCACCTCAGCTTGATACAACATTTTGTCGTCACGCTGGACCTCGTCCTGAACGTCCGCAGAGTCTGACAGGATCTTTGAAAAGTTATAATCATTTATTATATCTTTCAGAGGATTGACAGGGAAACCATACTTGACTCAATATTAAAGTGTCCTTTCAGTGGCTGTGTTGGAGCTTTTGATCCCCTCATGATATTCCTCAGCAGATGTTTTTATAGAATTGAACATTCATGGAGGTTCAATGAATGAATATATGAATATTGGAGCACAGCAACAGCTAATAAATGGACCTTGTTTTTGGATTATGTCAAGTGCTTTATCCAAGTTCAAGAATTAATTTTATTTCCCAAACGTTTAGGCCAAAATAATTCTGAATTGGTCAGAAAAAAAGTACATTTACACATCTGTAGCGTCATGTCAACTTGTGAGATATAAGTGAAATCGCTGGACGGTTACTAAATAGACCTTGAGAACATCTAATCACTTATTAATAAGTGCCCCTTTAAAAAGCATTCTTCTCTGACAAATTCACATCGTGTTAAACCATCACTTGCTACGGTTTCCCCCAACCTGCTCCATGTTGACCCTGAGTGCATGAAGCAATGTGGTGAGGCTGTGGCGCAGCTTCATCGCCTCTCTGAGCTCTGCCTCTCTGCGCTCCAGCATCAGACGCAGTGCTGCCTCTTCCCGTCTGCAAGGTGCACAGAGCAAGTGATGAGGAGGAGGAGGTGGAGAAAGTGAGCTGAAGATCAGATGTGGCAGGCCAAGTGCAGCCAACTTACTTTGTAGTAGACAAAAAGGATTTGATTGGCTGTTCCCTTCTGCTGCGGCCTCCAGGGGGGAAATTTAACACCTCTATGGCTGCATGGAAAAGTGCAGGATGGTAAACTGTGTGATTTTACTCAACGCTTGATATACAACATAGATCTGTGTGTATTTATTATTCTGTGTCTGAGTGGGTCTCACAGGGTCCTTTCTCCTTGTGTCTGACACTGAGCTGCTGTGACAGTCGCTCCTTCAGCCTGATGCTCTGCTGCTCTCGCCGCCTCAGCTCTGCCTCCAGTTGGCTGCACCGCAGCTGCAGATGCGTGTACTGTCAAGCAGAAAAAGATCAGCGTGTGAGTGTGTGTTAGTGCAGGGGGGGTAGTTCAGATAGTAATATATTCTAATATTACCTTGGTGCGCTCACACCTCAGCATGTCCTGGAGCCTGCCCACATGCTCGTCCATCTCCTGCAGCTGCTCCTGTGAGATATTTATAAGAGTTTGTTTTTCTGCCTTGCAAACAGCAGCACTGATCTACTACACTCACTCACTCACTCTGAGTGCGTCTCCCTGCTCCCTGTGCTCCTCCCTGTCAGTCCACCAGGGGGCGCTGTGACAGAGTTCATTCAGAGGGCTGGGGCTGGGATCCCTGAGCAGAAATGAGTCTGTGGTAGACCGGTGCAGAAAGCAAAAGATGCTGTTAAGAGAGGATATAGGAAGATGATGTGGCTAATATGAAAGCATGACTAGATTGGTTTTCCAGCATCCATGCTCAGCAGATTTTGGCTCATTTATGTACATGTGAACATTTTATTATCTTCACCAAGGAGTTTATGTTTTAGTCTGTTTGTTTATCTGTTAGTTGGCAAGATAATGCAAATACTATGAAACGGATTACCATGACACTTGGTGGAAGGATGTGATATGGCTCAGGGAAGAACCTATTACATCTCAGTGCAGGAATTTGTTTTCACTTTGTTTTAAAATGCTGTAGATTTCTCAGAGAATCATTTATGTATCTGTTTAGGGGACTGATATTCATGTGTATGTGCAATTTTTGTGCAGATCCAAATGAAAATCCTCTTGTGAATTTAAAAGTGGTTTCATGAGGGAACTGTTGAGCCTTGGCGGAGGTATGCACTGTGCCGAGTGTCTGTAGTTACCTGAATGCTCATTAAGTCCTCTGACGCTCTTCTGAACAAACCTGGAAGCCATCTGGAAGCCCTTTAACATTTCAGCAGCAAAGGGACAGTTTTTACACTCATGCAAATCTAACTGGTGGTCACAAATGAATCAGTACAGGAGCAATGCAAACATTCTTGTGCTTGTATGTTGAAAAGTTTAAATGACAAACTTACTGTATTGTAACAATGGATCAGTCCACATGTGTGTTTCTGGTACCTCACCTGAACTTCCTCACACAGATGCTTCCTCTTTTACTTCCAGGTGATGACACTTCCACTAATCACCACTGACAATAGGCATGAAGAGGAAGCTTCAGGATTTAAAATGACTCAGTCACATCACCTCCAACTAAACTTTCACTTTTACTCTGTTTGGATTATTAAGTACCAGTCTTATAGGGTAGTTTCGGAAGGTGTTGAGGGCTAAATTTTTTTTTTAGTATAGTTTTAGTTTTAGATCAGCAGTTTTCAAACCCAAATTATTTCTAACCATCATGTCAGCGTTTGGTGTCTCCTGTCAAGTGAATATCAGTTTGCCATTGTTTGAAAATTTAAGAGCATAAATAGAACAAATACATCTGTATTATAAATTAAATTTTAATGTGGTTTATCTTCAATAAACTGAAAAAGAAGAAACTATTCAAAAGTTGTTTAAAAGTGAAACTTTCCTCTTTTTCCTATGCACAAAGTATTGATTTTAAATCACACACAACAATCTTCAATGTCCAAAAAAAGTCATTTATTTCCTACAAGATTGCCCATAGTAGCAAAGTTAAGAAAGATAAAAGCTGACAGTAGTGAAAGGTTTTGGTTGATTGGAATAAGATTTCAGCGTGGAAATCAATTGATGCAACAAGTCTCTGCAGCAAGATTCATTAAACACAAATACAGACAAAGTGTTACATTAAATTTGGGACCAGGTTTCACATCCAAATAGTGTAAGGCCATGATGTGGATTTTCTTTTTTAAATTGAAGACACGAACAGATAAGCAGCCTTAACAGGCTGTTAAATATGTACAGAAAAAGGACGGGGTGTACAATCACACATCCTGCACTGAAAGAATTAAAAGTCTGTACAGTACTGTCCTACCTCACAATAGTACTAACACCGAAGCTATTATATATCATTATAATTTATGAGTAGTTTAAACCACCAATCATTTTAGCACACAAGGGATCAGAATGTCTGTTGGCCACGTGCATAGTTAATATTTTATTGAAATACAGTGAACAGTGAGGTCCAAAAGTCTGAGACAACTTTCCCCACTTAAGGGAATGGGACATTGGACCCCACTGTGCACATAACAATACATGCTCTTATTCTTGAACAGCACCTGGTTGCATTCATTACTATTAATAATTATATGACTGTAACACACAAAACACAAGAGGAAATAGTAACCTCAGCAGCCAGTCACATGGACAGCATTTCACTGACTGACTGGAGACAGACAATGTTAAGCCAGGGAGGCCAGGCATGTTAAGCACGAGGCAAAACGAGACCAGCTTAATCATTAGTCAGGCTAGTGTCAATAACAACATGTAGAGTTTGGCCCTGCTTTAAATGTAACAGATGGGAGTTATGATACCATTAGTTTTGGCAAACAAGTGGACCCTCAACACCCCCCACCCCATCCCACCCCACCCCTCCATCCATCATTCCCGCGTTGCATCATCCCGAGAGGAGCTGGTGGATCTACAGAGAAGTCACGTAGAAGTGAAGAAATCCTTCCATGTTTCTTTCTGTTGGAGACAGAAACAAAAACCACTGAAACAAAGCTCATTTTAAAATTGACTGATCGCATTTAGCTGTTTCAGTTTCAGCGTCCAGGGACACTCACACAGAGGGGAACGATTGTTAACATTAGTAAGACTCATGTGCTTTGGCTGCTGTGACAAGTCAAAATGCCAGTTCTTGTTGGTACATGTAGTTTGGTGACTTCACATAGTCACCATGTGGTGCTCTATTAGTAACACATGCTGAAAGTTTTTTGTGAAGAACAACTATGACATACATTTTTACTACAGCTCAACAAGTGGGACAAATATAATACCATGTGTCTATCACATTTTCGCATCATATCTATATAAAAATATAAGTGACTAACACTGACCCCCCTTATGGACATTACGCATGAACACACACACCATCAACCACTTGTATACTCTACATGTCTTCTCCACTCATTGTAATGTATTGCACCTATTTAAAAAACTTTTTTATAATTATTTTTATGTATGTAATGTACTTTGTGATCTTGTCTTTATCAATTATTCAATTTTATTTTTTTGTTATGCACCAAACGCCAAAGCAAATTACCTATATGTTGAAAATCTTATTCTAACGATGAGGAAGATTGATTCCCTCATGGAATTTTTAAATTGACCTTTTTTCGTGAATTACAAGCAAAGTTTCCAGAGATAGTATCAGTATTGTTTTAGTGCACGTTGATTTTGAAAATAAAAATTGACCTGTATATTTATCCTGTTAATCTCAATTACATGATTTGTGCAAGATTTATGTAAACTTGGCAACATAAATATTTTAAACATAACTAAGTAGCAAAACAACCATCAATGTAATCTATTAGTTTGAGCCAAGATAAACTTTAATACGTGTCACCAGCATGTGTTCTATAAGAACAAGTGATGCTTTGTTCTGTGCTCGATTTGAAATGTTTTATTTAGTTTATCTAAGGTATGGAGCCACTTGACCAAACCACTGAACAATGTTTGAGATGTGATAAGACTAAAAAGTATACGATAAGAGCAGCAAAGCACCAAAGAGGCTGCAGGCATGACTTTGAATTTGTCAATAAGGAAATTATTTCCCTTTTATTTTCTGTAAAAATTGTTTCATTAATTGTTTTAACTCTATTGTAATCAATGTAATTAGAGTGAGATCCAATACAGTACAAAGAATACAAATCATATCAGAGCACAATAAAGAGAACAAATGTCTTTATAAGCAACAGAATAAGCGCTGACAAAATAAGTAAATTATTTGAGTTACAGAAAAGAAATCTATAATTATTTTTCTAATCAATTAATTCTAATAATATTAAGTATCTTTTAATTTTGTTTTCAGTTAATGGTTGGAAAAATCAAGCTATTTTAAGATAATGATTAATAAGTTTTACATTAAGACGTTATTTTTTTAGATATTCTAGACTTAAACAGTTTAATTCCAAATCGAATATTAAAATAAATCGACTTGTGGACGAATCATTCCAGCTCAGGTCAACCGAAATATTAGAGCCTTGGGGATGTAAAGCACCTATCAGTTTCATTTCAGTCTAAACCCGGGCTGTAACAATTCTTGAACCAAAACAGAAACCACGATTCAGACGTCCTTTGTTTCGGCAATTATATAAATATTGTTTATAGGAATGCTGCTGTTATTGAAGCATCACAGACGCTTCTCTTTCTGTTTACTTTCCTGAGTTGTTGGTTTAAGATCTGCAATAAAACCCAGAACTGATTATTTTTGTTGTATCCGTTTTTACGTAGTTTGCACTGGATTGAACTGAACTGTGTTGGGCTTGTGGGGGAGACTAAAAGAGACTTTGTATATATACCGATTGAACCGAACTGTGGCTCAAAAACCTAGGTCTGAACCGAACCTTGGATTCAGCTTAACGTTACAGCCCTAATCTAAACTAAAAGGGGGAGGTAATTAACGTCCTCCCTACTGTAATTAACTGTGCAGCTTATCTCCCCAGCTAGTGCCTGAGTGGGGGAGCAAGGCGAACTTACCTCAGAACAGGGAGCAGGATTTAGGGGGTCTGAAGGGATTATCACTGGAGGGGACCCCGACCAGGAGAGGGTCCTTGGAGGCATTTTGCACACAGAAGTTTCTCAGCTCAGCAGCAGCCTGGGACACCTGCAGAGCCAGACATATGATGATAGTGTGTGTGTGTGTGTGTGTGTGTGTGTGTGTGTGTGTGTGTGTACCCATTTTTTTTGTCTCTTTAAGAGGTGTTCCAATACCACCATCAGAAATGCCTCAGTCATCAGCGAGTATATGCAGATCTATCTACTGATCCAAATATTATCAGAACATCCCCAGACCTTTTCCAACATAAAAAGTGACCTTGTCAGGATCAGTACACTTCATGGTGACCAAAACTCAGGACTGATGAATGTGATTTTTGAGGTCAAGGTCAGGGGTAAGATTTGGATTGTGGTTAGGTTAAAGGAGAAGTAAATAAAGAGTTTCGCGGCAGATAATGCGTTATTTAGAGGCCATATTGTGGATGCCCCAATCACTTGGGTTGCATGGATAAACGCGGATCGCGTGTGGATCTAAAAGCGTCCGAAGGACTCCAAGTTACTCCAAACCTTTATGGGGGAGTAGATCTACATACCATATGCTGGAAATAAGGACCAGGTTGAAAAAAACCGAACTTCTCCTTTAAGGTTAGGGTCAGAAATGAATTGGTTATAGTTAAGGTTAGGGATAAGGTTTTGGTGAGGCTGTCCACAATGAATGGAAGTCAATGCAAAGTTCTACTAAGGACGGCTGCGCAAACCTCTATGTGTGTGAGCGTTTTTAGGACCAAAACTCAGTACCAATGAGGCAAAACTTAATTTCTGATGTTAGCCTGAATGTGATCCTCCTCCAGAGCCGCGTTCATGTTTGCGCGCGTGAATTTGAATGTCGGGGCTTACAGACACTTGGACAATTTTTGTTTTGTTCATGTATGAAGACGTTGTCGAACTATCCCTTTAAAGTTAGTAGTAAGATGTGAGTTGTGGTTAGGTGAAGATTAGGACGAGGCATGAAATGTTCATGGCTAAGGTTAGGTATCAGGTTTTGGGTCGGCTGTCTGCAAAAAATGTCAGTCAATGGAAAGTCCCCAAAAGAATATTAATCTTTGTCAGCTTTCTCCAGGTTAAACAGTGACCGGCACCAGTGAACCTCATGGGGACCAACACCCGGTCAAAATAAGGACAAAACTGATTTCAGATGTCCATAGAAAGACATAGCAAAGATAGCTGCTCAAACAAGAGTGTGTGGGTGTGTGAGAGTGAGTGAGTGAGTGTGTGTGAGTGTGTGTGTGTGTGTCACATGTACACATGTTCAGTATGGTAATGGCCCCGCTGACCTGCTGTCAGACCACAGAGCCGCTGCTTGTCGCGTAACAGCCACTTTTGTTTTTACATCCAAATTTGCACGCAGCGGTGTCGCAGGACAGGTTTACGTCCGCAGCGTAACTTTTTCTTTCCTTTGACATTACTGACATTCGGAAGTTTAACTCCTACGCCGCTGACACACTTGGTAACAACTTCCCCAAACACACGATGACAGCCGATGAAACGCGGAAGAAAGTGGCTCGCTGGTCGCTGGTGGATTAATCAACCGCATACCAAAGTGTGTGTGTGTGTGTGTGTGTAACTTTGTTGAAGTCTATAACCCCAGAGAGTCCATGTGAGTCTTTTCAGTCGGGATCTGTTTCGTTCAGCTGAGCTCGTTCTTCTTCCGTGTTTGTGTGTGAGCTGGGGTTCGTACCTTGATCCTCCGGACACTGGCCTCTAGCCGGAGCTGCTTCACGGCCCTCTGGGCGATTATTAGGTTGTTGCTGGCATTGTTGTTGGACATGGCGGCGGCCTTCGCTGCAGAGAAGTTACGTGAACCGAGCGGAAATTAACCCAGACTGCTCCAAACCCTGGACCCGAGTGGCAAACCGAGGTCCACATGCGCCCCGCCCCCTCTGTGCCAGCGAGCCATGCTATTGGGCTCGAAGCCTGTCAATCAAAAAGTTGCTCTAAAAGCCGCGCCCCTGCACATATTGGCCATTATCATGAGTTTCATCGAGATCAGAGCAGGAAGCTGTGACGTCCAGTCAGAGCAGTCAGCAACCTTTTCAGTTTAGCCCACACCAGCTCAGGGAGATGTTAAAGATTCAGTGTGCAGAATTTAGTGACACCTAGTTGTGAAGTTTCATGTTGCAGCTGAATATCCCTCACCTCCCCCTTTCACTTACATATTACACACTAAACCTTTAAATAAAACATTTTAAATGTGAGGGTGAATTTAGGAAACACAAAACTTCTTTCAGAAATGCTTTGATCTCAAGAGATTCTCCAGACATTCAAATGTTAAATGTCCGAGTGAGAGCTGCTCCTCTGGCAAGCCCGCTAGTAAAAGTCAGTAGAATGTCCTAATAAGCTGATATGAGAAAACAGTAGGAGATCCTCTGCAGGATTCATTGTGAGTGAGTGGGCGTGTTGATGATGTTTCTAACACATCTAGCAACAGATGCAAAAATTAAAACAAAAGAAGAAAACAAATATATAACGATGAAAAAGCAGTGTCTTACATGTAGAATACACCTACAAAGATGTCAAGAGATTTGTTTTGGGTTATAACGGCCAATACTGATGTGAATGTGCTGTAAACAAGCAAAAAAACTTGATCACCGCAACTGAATGAATGCCTGTCCTACACCGCCTGCTGCCCCCCCCCCTCACCTGAACGCTCTGGACATTTCTGTGATGTTATGAATTTACCTGAGAGGAGAATCTCCTGCTGCATTGTGCCTGTGTGAAAGGCAAACTCCGGAAAAAGTCAGGACCCAATTCTCCAGACATCCTCTAGAGGTCATATCTTAGGCACTCATCAGGGTCAGGATCACTGATATCAATGTTGTATTCTGGACTTACTTTTGTTATGAGCAGAAAAGGTTTCAGCACATTTATTCACAATCACACTGGAACAGGCCTCCATCTCTGCAGTACATCTACCAGCAGAGAGTCTTTAGAAGAGCCAACAACACAACCAAAGACCCCGCTAAGCCTCAGTATCACCCCCTCACACCAGTCTGAAATGCATGACTCCAGGACTCAAAGACATAATTCTGATTAACACCTCCGAACACTCCCACTTTTGACCCCTCCCCTCAAAAAAAGGCAACTTGCTCTACTGACATCGTGTCTTTACACAATAGACTATATACACACTTGTTTTTGCACATTACCTTTAACCACTGTTATAACTGTCTGCCTCGGTATGTATGGATGTATGTGTGTGATGTGCTTGATGAGTGGATATGGATTTGCATTTATTTAAAATATGCATGAAAATAAACACAGAGAAGTAGAAAAGTACTCAGACATCGATTTTTATTTTCTTCAATCATTTCACAGCTCATTGCGCAGCTAATAACAATCAGGAATTAACAATGTGTGTTAAGATTAAATTATGCAAATGTGACACTTATGAATAAAAACAAATGCTAACACAAAATAATATCTATACTATAAAATGAGTTTGTATTATTACTACATGTTACCAGCTCCCTTAGGTGACTTGTCCCCTGAAGATAAAGAAGAAAGAGTAAAAACATGATTATAGGTGATTAATTCTCTGTAGATCATCGTGTTGACACATCAGTCCTGAGACCACATTGTAAATCATACTCACAAGAGATTGGTCCAATGGTGAGGGGCTTCAGAGGAGCAGAGCTGTAAACAGAGCGAGATGTCCTTCTTCCGCAAGACTGTGAAAAGGAGGGAAAAAAATAGTGTAAAGATGCACTGACTATTGATTGATAATGCTATTGATGATGTGAAACGTGTGACGTACTGGGGAACAGCGGGAGCTCCTCTGGTCGCATAGGCTCAGGCTGCAGTGAAGGTAAATGTCACTGTATTCACCATTGATCAGGAAAAACAGGGCAGAGAAACGAGCCTGTCGAGATGAGCCACTCTCAATCACCACCACTTGTTGTCGGTCAGTGGGACACCTGAGGATGGAGCCATTATACAATCTTTTCCCGCCCATTTCCATTATAAACCACAAAGCATAATGATGAAGAGGGACACTTACCTGTTCTGGATGAAAAAGTATCTTGTGGGATGATTGGGGTTTGGTGAGTGAGAGGCGTAGCAGTTCTCCAGAACAACTACAAAGCTTGGATCTCTCACTGACACAGAGACACCCACATGTAGAGGTGAGCCCACTAGAAGCGCGATCGAGCCAGATGGATAAGGCTGAGTGAAGTCGGACTGGCGGTACAGAGACATGGAGGCTCTAGCTTTGGCGCCAGTGGCTGAGAGGCCACCTGCAAACCTGTCAAGAAAATAAACCTTGTTATTATCATGACCTAAAATCCTACACAGGTGACATTGATGTGTCCTGGAGGTTTAAAGCCACTGTGGCAAACAGCAATACATGCTTACGCTGACATAAGTGATGAAGAGTAACACAGACTACACCAATTTTAATCAGGTTCATCTTTTCCTTTTGCAATATGACATCAATTGTGTCCATTCTATTATTTTAAATTGATTTTTATTATTAATAGTGTTTGATGGCATTATCGTATTCAATAAAAAAACTTCTTACGGCAGGAATGGTCTGATAGACGCATTCAGGCTGGCGTCTGTGGCGAGGGGATACGCACAGGAGAAGGGAAGACTGGTAGGACGTGTGAAGGACACATTTATTGGGTAGAAATATAAACTGTTGGAGTAGATAGCGTGTGTACGGTTGGTCTGAAAGATAAAGAGTGGTTAAATTATTAGTCACTTTAAGTATTATTACAGTTTGAGTGGTTTTGTCATAAGCAGAAGATCTTGGTTTAAGATATTGTCTCTGTCAGTTCCTGCTAACCAAACCTCCCTGCGTAGGAGTTTATGCAAAGAAATTCTCCATTTGGGAACGAAAATAATAAGAAATGAATAGATATAACTTTAACATGAACAAAGAAAAAGTTATGAAGAATTTACCTTCAATGAGTTTCCACAGGCACCTGCCTGAGCTCCCACTTCGTACCAAACAACATCATTATGCACTCTGACCCAGGAGCAGTTTCGAACTGCCAGGTTTCCGGAGAGTGGGTTCAAACCCATGGATGTTACGACAGCCATATGTAGCCCTATTTGGATTTTGTCACGTCCACAGATGAGCTGAGGAGGCTGGGATGGAGGGCGTTGGACTAAAGAAAAAGTTTTAAAAAGCCAGCAAATGAAAGTGTGCACAAAGATGAGATGGTAAATACCAGATGAGACCAGGATGAAAGTTAACATTAACATTTCACTGTGTGTAATTAGAAATATTATATTAAAAAACGTAAAATATAAAAGTAAACCTACATTCACAGACCACACTGGCATCTTCACTATGAGCACAGTTGTGGACCCCAAACCCACGATGTCTGCAGTCCGTTATCGATGCTTCCCTCCCTGAACAAATAACGTCGTCCAACCAGATGGGTCCAGTGCCCTGTCCAAAAGCAGCACTTTGCAGTGCTGAGCGAGCCCTGCCACAGCCCAGCTGTCTGCACACCACGTTGGCATCGTTCAGGTCCCAGGAATCGTCACACACTGTCCCCCACTGTCCAGCGTGGTAGATCTCCACTCTACCAGAGCAACGGTTGTCAGAGTTGACAAGCCTCACTGGTGAAGCAGCTACGAGAAACACATGCAACAAAATACTGATCATTAGAGACACAGATGAAAGCCAGACTTCAATAAGACAATGATTTCTATAAAAACTACAGAGATATCAAAGAATAGTGTGAAGCACTTATTTCCTATTTCTGTTAATGTTATCCTATGTTATCTGACAATAAGACTTCATTAAGTCTACAAATWAGCATTRACCTTCACAGACGACACCAGCATCCTCACTGTGACCACAGTTGTGAGATCCAATCCCTRGGTGCCGGCACTCGCTCAGCTTTGATTCGTTGCCGGAGCAAGTGACATCGTCCAACCAGATGGGCCCACTGCCCTGTCCAAAACGTGCACTTTGTGGTGCTGACAGGACCCTGCCACAACCCAGCTGTCTGCACACCACCTGAGCATCAACCAGGTCCCAGGCGTCATCACACACCGTCCCCCACTGTCCACGGAGGAAGATCTCCACTCTGCCAGAGCAGGAGCTGTTTCCTCCATTGGCCAGGCGGACCTGTCCGTTGACTCCGGTGCTGTTGTCCACTGCTGTTGTTTCACTGGGGCCAGAGGTGAAGTTCTGAGATCCTGGATCAGGTGTGGTTGGTGAAACTGTTGTGTTTGGTCCTGGTTGAACTGACAGAAAAATCTATMTGAACCCACAAGACAAAGACACTCTGCACCTCCATCAATATTWATAAGGAAAACATCTTTGTTATTATCTCTGATGTTTTCACRGCTGTTTATTTGTTTGTGTTTTAGCAAAATTACGCAAAGAACTACRGAATGGATTTCCATGAAACTTGGTGGAAGAATGTGGTATGGCTCAGGGAAGGAACACTTATATTTTGGTGCAGATTCAGACCAGGGGTCAGATCCAGGATTATTTTTTCACTTTATTTAACTTGAGGCGATAGGGTGTTTTTCAACGTTTTTCCATTTACCCAGGGAACAATTCATGGATTCAACTCAAATTAATTTAAGGGGACTGTTGGACCTTGGCAGTGGTATGCCAACAACACTGACTGATATTTTAGTTGTTTGTTTGTTGGTGTATTTGTCAGCAGGATTATGCAAAAACTACTGACCTGATTTCCACCAAACTTGGTYGAGAGATGGGGCGTAGGTCTAGAAAGAACCATTCAAATTTTGGTGTGGATGTAGATTAAGTGTTGGATTCAGGTTTTTTCACCCACTTTCTGTAACTATGTGTTGTACGACACGTAAATCATTTAGGTTATCAGACCAYCTCCTTTTTTTCTTATATATTTCTACCATTAAAAGGAAACAAATATGTGTGGGATTGACTGTAAGCAGAGGTACAGTATATGCTCTACTGAGTGTCATTCTAGTTAAAGATATAATTGATGATGTAATCCTGTGGCACAAAATTCTATTTGACCTTTTTACATAAACATGTACTGCCCATTTGACGTATTGTGCCACAAAACAATATATGTTGAAATATATCAGTGATGCAATTTTCTAGTTAAATGTGAGCAATAACAACTGGACTCAACTTTTAATATATAGATATATATATAGATATATAAACATTTACCGTCACAGATGATGCTGGCATCTTCACTATGAGCACAGTTGTGGACCCCAAACCCTGGATGTCTGCAGTCCGTTATCGATGCTTCCCTCCCTGAACAAWTAACGTCGTCCAACCAGATGGGTCCAGTGCCCTGTCCAAAAGCAGCACTTTGCAGTGCTGAGCGAGCCCTGCCACAGCCCAGCTGTCTGCACACCACGTTGGCATCGTTCAGGTCCCAGGAATCGTCACACACTGTCCCCCACTGTCCAGCGTGGTAGATCTCCACTCTACCAGAGCAGCGGTTGTCAGAGTTGACAAGCCTCACTGGTGAAGCAGCTACGAGAAACACATGCAACAAAATACTGATCATTAGAGACACAGATGAAAGCCAGACTTCAATAAGACAATGATTTCTATAAAAACTACAGAGATATCAAAGAATAGTGTGAAGCACTTATTTCCTATTTCTGTTAATGTTATCCTATGTTATCTGACAATAAGACTTCATTAAGTCTACAAATTAGCATTTACCTTCACAGACGACACCAGCATCCTCATTGTGACCACAGTTGTGAGATCCAATCCCTTGGTGCCGGCACTCGCTCAGCTTTGATTCGCTGCCAGAGCAAGTGACATCGTCCAACCAGATGGGCCCACTGCCCTGTCCAAAACGTGCACTTTGTGGTGCTGACAGGACCCTGCCACAACCCAGCTGTCTGCACACCACCTGAGCATCAACCAGGTCCCAGGCGTCATCACACACCGTCCCCCACTGTCCACGGAGGAAGATCTCCACTCTGCCTGAGCAGGAGCTGTTTCCATTGGCCAGGCGGACCTGTCCGTTGACTCCGGTGCTGTTGTCCACTGCTGTTGTGCTCTGTAAATCTGTTGTGTGGTGCACTGTAGCAGGTGTGGTCAAAGGAACTACAGCGTCAGTTTGGTTCACATCTGTTGATAATAAAAAAGTTTTTGTTCATAAAAATGTGATTTGAATTTACAAAGAACAGGACAATATATTCTAAAGACTATAACTCTTACAATGGATGGATTAAATGGGAAAATTGAACTTGTTAGAAAGTAAAGTTTCTGTACCTGCACAGTAGGCAAGATAGCAACCGGCTGGCTTCACAAGTTTGTAGACGTAGTAGTTTCGATTGCAGAGTTTGACGTGGATGGAGTTTGAGTTAAAAGAGCAACAGCTGGAGCCCCAGTGACCACATACAGACCGAGTTACAATTTCACCTGGCTGTGTGGGATGAGGCTCTGTTATCCACAGGGGAGCATGGGTTCCACACCTGTTTTTCAGAACACACCTCTCGGGAATGTGAGCAGTGGTTTGATTCAGGAAGAGACGATACCAGCCTTCCCATGTAACATCTCTGTCACAGTGTAGGATCTGATTCATTGTGTTTTCTGTCGAACGCCAGTCCTGGTGCAGCTCAGTGTAGTGCTCACAAGGGTCAGCGCAGCGGGTGGACCCATTATTACTGATGCAGTCCATGCCTGCAGGGCAAACAGTGTTTCCACACCTGAACTGGACAGATTGGAGAGAGGGCCCAGATCTGGCGGTGGAAGAAGGCTCCATACATATGAAAGAGCCTGGTGTGTTGTGGCACACCTGAGGCGCTGCACACGGTGGGTCTGGGAGGGAGCACTCGTCAGTTTCTACACAACCGCTGTCTGGTGACCAGTGATAACCCTGGCTACAGCAAGAGGAGTCACTGCAGAGTTTTGTGTCGTAGCAGGTGAAACCGTCGCCTACGAAGCCATCTTTACAGACACAAGAGAGGCCCTGGCCACTGAACGTGTCTCCTCTTTCTCGTGACTCCAGACACATGGCCTCATCATGACATGAATCACAGCTGGAGACAAGTGTCCCTGTGAAAAATACAGAGACAGTTTGATCCATGCTGTCGTTAAAGGTTAAGTGGCCATGAAAACCAAGATAAGCAACTGGTAGAAATAAGTTAAACAGAAAACTGTTATATGTAGATTAACAACAGTGGATCTGTGCAATTGATAATTCTTGAGTTAAAATTAGTAAAGAAATCAGTGAAATTTGAAAGGTCATCGTTTAAACTGACTGTGCTATGTAGTCTTCACATCCTGCAAGAGTAATATGGTTAGGGTTATAGGGAATAACACTAGGGTTATTTATTCGGTAGTTTTTCCTCACTCTTGTCAAAGGTTAAGGACAGAGGGTGTCACACCTTGCTAAGCCTTTAGAGACAAATCGTTATTTGTGGATATGGACTATACAAATACATTGATTGATTGATTAATTAATTGATTAAAAAGTTGGCAAATATACAATGTCCAGATACATCAGAACCAGAAGCACAGAAGGAGCTAAAAACTTGATCTCATAGAAAATGTAAATTAAAAGAAGTCATACTTATGAGGTGTGGTCTGTGAACACATTCTGCTCATTTTAATTAATTTTAACCAAAATTGTCTGTGTAATTGGATGAGATGACAGAAAGTCAGATTGACCTACCTGAAGTGTTCCCTGTAAAAAACTGCAAAATTAGGAGCAAGAGCAAACCGGCAGGCATCTCCATCATGGACCACATCCACGGCACAAAGTTCCTTAAAAAACGCAAAAGAGATGTATGAAATCATACGTTCACATTACAATCATCACTCTACTTTGTCAGTGTTTGTACTCACCTTGGCGAGAATGAGTGGAAATCCAGCAGATGGTGAAAAAGTTGTTTGTGTATTTTGCCCAGTGAGCGAGAGCATGAGAATTTATAGGCTTGCCTCTGTGTGCAGAGGATAACAGGACGTGCTCATTGGTGAAACACATTAGCAGGTCATTGATAGCGCTGGTCCGATAGAACATTAAAAAAGTTACTTATTAATCAAAGTAGGACAAAAGGATTAGATTCAAACATAACTGGCACACACGTCAAAGCCGTGAGTCAATATGTTTTATGGTTCCTCAATCGTTCGCAGGTCAACATAATGGAGACATTTTGGTTTTGACAGGTTTGCACATTCCAGCGCTTATAACCTCCTTCTGTCAACAGCTGGGACAGACTGATGTAGTGGATGGACATATACATTAAGAGGTCCAAGGTCCAAGCATTTAACAGCATCTCAGTGTTTTGGTGTTCAGGCTTTTACAATCAGTTTGACTGAACAAATACCATTTGTGTCAGTTTCTGGAAATTGTTTGGTAGAAGTATATTTCAACTAGAATGGTGATCATTAGAGCACATACCTCCACCAAGGCCAGTCCCCTTGAATTCAGTTGAGCTGAACCAGATTATGCAGACTCATAGATATCAGTTCCCTTAATATGTCTGATTTTGAAAACTCAAGATCCGTATGTTATTCTTTTACATCAAGATCCATGAATTACTGACTGAGAAATTGAGAAAAATTAAAAAATGCCCAATCTCACAATGTTACGAAAAGTGAAAGGAAATTCCTGATCTGAATTCACATGGAAATTTAATGAATCTTTTTTTTGACACGTCCCATCCATCCAGCCAGTTCATACAAAAAAATGTGTCACCATGCATAATCATATCGGCAATGTATGTTTCTGCCTTTCTCACTGTATTTGAAACTTTTTTAAAACGGAATAAAGAGGTCTCTTTGAAGTTAGGATATTTCCCAATATCTGAAAAGGATTTATTGTTTTTACCACATTGACACGTCTTAACTCTTATCACCATTTACTGGAATCACTGGCTGCTGCTTGTATTGATTTTTGTCGTCGGTGGAAATATTTCAAAATACACTTCTTTTATTAGTGATGGATTTATTACTACAAGGTAAATGGTTGATGTTTTTACAACACTTGATGTTGGTATGTGTGTTCTCAGTGTTACTGAAAGTGAGCAACAGTTCAAACACCCCCTTAGATGCTATTCAAAAATCATTGCTATATAAATGTAACTTTTAGTCACACCATACTGAGAAAGTCTTTGTACAGCTCTTAGAAAAATATGATTAATATTTGTTGCTATATAGTGCTTTTAAAATAAGGGATTACAAAGTGCTTAGAGTGACAAATCAGACACAGGAGGCTCAGGGGTGATCACAAAAATGCTTTAACACTGATAAAAAGCATCCAAGTTAAAAGATGGTGTCATGAAAAAGAAAATAACTTTAACAATAAATAGAAGACGACATAACATAAAAGCAAATAAAAACAAATACAAAGAACAAAAGCAGCAAAACATAGAAAGATTAGACTGAATCAGCAAACCTTATCTCCTAAGGGAGATTGTTCTTCATTCTGATAACAAGACAAATAATCAGTAATCAAAACTGAAAGCACAGAACACAATACATCACCTTGGACTTTGGTGCATGCTCTGATTTTTGTCCCATTTCTTTGTGGGACTGGCCTTACTCAAGGCACATGGTAGTGAAAGGAGGTCATGCTTTAAATCAGCATTTGTTTTTCAGTTAGCAAGATTACATAAAAACTATGAGACAGATTGCCACAAAACTTCAGGGAGGAAGCCATTAAATTGTGATGCTTATCCAGAAATGTTTCCAAATTTGGTGGGAGAGCTTCATTCAGACGAGACTGGATGTTGGCTGATGACGGCTGAAATAAACTATTCCAGAGTATGTGCATTTGTTTTGCCCAGGATACTTCCCCTAAACAATATATCAATCTAATTACATCTGATAGACACTTGTCTTTAACTTTCTGTGTGGAGTTTGGATGTTCTCCCTGTGTCTGTGTGGATTTTCTCTCTAGCTCCATCCTCCCTGCAACCCTCTAAGGATAAACATCTTAGATAATGTAAGGATGGACGGATCAAATGTATGATTGTGCAGCTTCACTATGACTCAAAAATTGTTGCACGTAAAAGAAACCCAAACACACATGAAAATATACACTTTTTATTCACTGAAAATCCTTGGAAAGGTACAGTGAAAAGGATTTGTAATGTAATACATTGTCTTCGTCATGAAAAAATAAACTAACTGATAAATTGGTAATCTGTAAATTCAAATTTGGCCTCTGGTAGCTCTCAGAGGGAGTGCTCTGTTAGTAAAATATACATATACCATAAAAAACACATAAAACTCTATAAAACACGTCTGGTCCATTGTTTTTGAGCACAGATAACTTAGTGTTGTAATCTTGAAGATTGCACAATCATTTCCAGAGTCAGGGTTTGCAGATACAAAGTGCAAGGAAGGGTTAGGGTTAGTTCTTATGACGGGAAAAAAGTGTGACATCACTTGGCCATGGGCAGTCTGGATAACTGACTGCCAGTAAACAATAATAGTAAATAATTTGTCACTTTGTACATTACAGTCTGATAATCGCATATCAGAAAGTTCACCAATCAGCACTGTGACTGGACAGTTTCCTTATCAGTCATCCAGGAGGCATCCTGACTCAACTTGCAGCAGTGCCGCCTCCACACTGTCGGTGTGCTGTAGGCCCTCCAGATCAGCCGCTTGGAGAACCTCCAGAACAGAGAGCTGAGGGAGTGTGTGAGAAGGACACAATAACTCTATATCTAGTTTGTTGTGATTGTTATAAAAATTAAAATCTGGCCCAAGATAAAAATATAATCGCACCTGTAATCTGGAAAAGATCAGTTGCACGTCTCGTTGTTTGAACTGTCTCAGCACGTCCCTGAGCTCGCTGATCACCGTGTAATCTATGATGCTGACGTGATGGCAGTCCAGGACCACTGAGCGTGGAGGAGATGCTGAGGGTGACAATAAGGGGAGAAGAGTGGGTAGATGACAGGAAAGACAGGAGGGGGCGATGTGAGGTGTCTGATAAACAAAACCTCACCTTTCAGTGCGTGGGTGTGTATGATGTGGCTGAGATACTCTGTGGCTGGAAAACTCAGCCCACTGCTCAACTCCATCACTAGTGCACCATGATCAGACACCTGCACACAATACACACACACACACACTGTTAGCACAACATGGATATACATGGACTTCATTACAGCCTATAGAGACTGTGGTTAATGGAGAAATCATTTGGGGAGGGGCGAGTAACTCTGCCACTTCTACGACTGATGTGACTGGTTATTCAAATGTCCCTTATTCAAGTCTCCGAAATCTGATAGTGATCTTTCGTCTTTTAGACAGATAATAATATTTCTCTGAAATATCTTCATGTGACCAGGATTATGGATAAAACATGATATCACTATAGAAAATGTAATTTTATACAGCAATATAAATCATTATTGTAGAAACAGAGAATCTTTATTTCAACATTTCTGATGAATTACATTTTTAAGCTCATGAATTGAAGCTAAAGTTCTATAAATGTGATATTGCATTTAATAAGTCCTGCTTGGTCATTTGGAAAATAACTCACATTACCATAGATATTAAAAAAATAAATACCAACCTTGGAATAAAACGCAATATAAAAGTCTCCTAAGCATTTACTGTCGTCTCATGGCAAATATCATTACACTTCCCAAACCTTCCATTAACCAACACAGTGGGTGCAGCGACTCTTTCCCACAGCGTTGTAGAATGAAGTTTAAACCTCATTAACTCAGGTTTTGTTACATGATGAAGTCTGAGAAGTAGATGATATGAGACGGTGTGGAGCGTTATAAATAATCACAGCAGGAAAATGCACAGCATCCTTTATTTTACTGTGTAGAAGTCTGTTTGCAGCTCTTGCTGGTTAAAGGCCCTGTTCAGACCTTTTCTTGCCTTAAGTCCAGTTCAGACCTGGTATTAACATCCGTCCTGTCAGATCCGATCACAAGTGGTCAGCGTTAAGTTCGTATGTTCACACCTGGTATTAAAACACATCCTGAATGTGTCTCCTGTGACCACTTCAAATGCAAATAATCACGCATGTCATTTCTGCTAACAAAGACCAAATGATGTTGTTTTACCTGGTCTGAGTTTACAAAGTGTGTGATGACAATGATGGTGTGTGTGTCGGCACGAGTGAGTGAGTGTGAGAGAGAGGTAGACAGGAGACAGGACGGGCTGAGTGAATCTTGAGCAGCTGCTGCGAAGAAAGATTTGACCAATCTAAGAAAAGCATCAGTATTGTGGCTGCAAGCAAATCAATACGCAGTCCTTCATATGTGGCCCAGGAATCGGCCAAAGAGGTCAAAGGCTGATCCAGTGCATCAGGTGCCTACGCAATAATTTTGTTAACTGCACTTATTTGCAAATGACCATCTCTCGTGCCTTTTGAGACAATAGAACCAAAGTTGTGGAACACCCGACCTACATCAAGGTTTGCTGATTCTGTGGAATCATTTAAAAACCACAAACCTGTTTAAACAGGAGTTCAGGTGATTTAAGTTTACTGGATATTATTGTTTCGTACTGTGTGTATCTTCTGCTTCTACATTTTGTATGGTGTAACTTTTTTGGCCTTGAAAAACATTTAGTAACTTGTATGTGTCTTACTTACTTTACAGAAAACAGTGAGCAAATTAGTGTGCTGCCTTTGAAATGAATCATGTGTTCCACAGCAGAACCGTGCACTTACTCACACACGTTCCTGTAAAAGAATATTACTGGACCTTTATCTGGGGTCTGGCCGTGTTGTACAGCAGCAGGACTCCAGATACAGCCACTCCTCCGATAATACCGTACTGCACCTGCCAGAAGCTCATCAGGAACGTCACGACAAAAGGCAGCAGGTCCAGCTCTGTGGAAGTCACATGAGCACTGAGACTTCCAATAAACAGATCACAAGAGAAATGTTGAGGCACAAAATTGAGGAAACACCTACTGCGTATCCTCCACATCTTAACCACGATGCGGTAATCCAC